CTTTTTCAGTTGATTTCCGGACCCCATGCTTCCTGATCGGAATCCTGTATTTCCTGTACGTCCATTACGAATTTTAAATGCAATTCTGCTTTGTTGTTCTCCGCCTTTTTATATACAAAAATATTATGGCAGGGAAAGGGCTTTGATGTTGGGCAAAAATGATTTGCCTGAGGGCTTGCTTATTTTTTAGATATTTATTTCCACGGAAATGGTTTCACTCAATGAAAGATAGTTCACGGAACCATTATTCTACTTATTTTAAGCTAATTTTGTGGCCACATGGGGGCTAAGGGGGGGGCTATCTCCCAGATCCCATGCTATGCTGGTATTTTCCTCAATGAGAAGCTACAGCCTCTAATCCCAACGACCCTCCCGCCTCACTGGAAATACTCTAAATTAATTTATTTAGCCAAACATTTAATAAACCTAAACAGATTTACATCTGCAGCATTTGTCTCCCTTAGCCGCCAGCCGCCTGCTGGCTCTGGATAGTCCGGGGGAATTCCCCAATGATTTGGGGACCTGCCTGGCATGCCTGGGCGCTCAGTGATTTTAATTAACATTTCTGATTCTGCGGCTTGCCAGAGCAGGGCTCCACCTCGGTCCGTGGCGTGGCTTTATTAGCACACACCTGTGCAGGCCCCATGTGGCATGTCTCTGGGGCGGGCTCTAATTGAATTGCTACTTGCTTAATTAAGTACAGAGATAACCTTGTTGCTGATTAAGATTTTGTCAACATTTAATTCATTTAATTCGGCTTGATTAATGCACTTTAATCTCCATATATTGTATCTCCCTCTCTCTCTCCCTCTCTCTCTTCCTGAATTGCAGACGGACAGAGCCCATTTCTGATTCAGAGTTCAACGAGTTGAAGGTTCAACCAACGCCAAGCGAGAGAGGGTAAGTTGTGGCATTTGCTTTCGCAGAGATTGTTTTGACAGCAATCCCGGAGTTCTCCGACAGCTGCATTCAGTCAACTATCCATCTATCTATCCATCTCTCCATCTATCTATCTTGTGCTTTTATCAATCATTTCTTACGTTCTCGTATTTAAAGAAAATATTTTCTATAAATTTCCAAATCTATTGACCCACAAAATGTGGCCGGAGCCGAGGCTCTTGGCAACCGAAGACCATGGCTCAAAGGCGAAACCCGATAGCCGGCGAAAGAATGGCCGCAATGCGAAATGAAATCCAATACCAAAGCACAAAATGACTGCCAGCTAGAGCTCCAGTTCGGATGCGGAAACGTATTCTTCGTTTGTGTGTGTGTGGGTGTGTGGCAAGGCCTTCAGAGGGGGGTGTGTGTGTTCGACATCCTTAATCAAACATATGAGAAATCAAATTATGAGCCAGCACACACACACACACATGAAATGGAGGGACATATGCACTTAAGGGGCTGCAGAATATTGGAACAGAATAGAGGATTACCTCTCTTTTTTGGGGCCTGAAGAATGGGGAGACTTTTCCAGAGAGACTAAGGCCCTTAGAAGCCTGATATACCCCTCACCGTCTGGGGTATCAGTCAGCAGTGCAGGCAGGCCGCCCACACAGTCTTGGCCTGGCTCTGGCACTGGTAGCCGGCTGCCTAACTGATGAAGTTGATAATGATAAAGAGGTCAGATAAGATACGCCTGGGAAATGCCTTCAAATGAAAGGCTGAGACATGGCGCAAGCAGCCAAGAAGGAGAAGGCGAAGGCAAAGCAGAAGAAGGAAGGAAGAAGCAACATAAATTATGAAAAGAAATTTTCATGCATGTGCATAAGGAAACGAGGCAGCGTCGTATCCTTGGCACTGCTATCAGCCTCGTCTTTTCTCGTAATTAATTTGATTTCATTCATTCCAGTCAGGGAAATGCGAAAGCGAACAAAACAGCGAAAGTTAAATTAATTGAAAGAGCACAAACACTCCGGAAAGGCAAGGCATTCCGCGACTGTCTACCGCCTACCGCCTACTGCACAATCATAATTTCCAGCAAGTTGAGGGCTTAAAGAGGCGGCGCTCTTGCTGGATGTTCGCCTCCATTGAGCCAACAACAGCTACAGCTACAGCTCCAGATTACCCGAAACAAAAGTCCTGCCATCTCCGTTGTCCTCTGTCCGATGTCCTCTCTCCTCTGTTCTTTCCCTCCACAGCTCGGGCGTGTCGACATTGGTAATAAAGCGCTCACTTGCATTTGGCCAGGACGGTGTGAGGGGGAGGGCGAGTGCGAGTGTGCGTCTGAGAGCCCCGTTTATGTATGCATACGAGTGTGTGTGTGTGTGTGTGCCCGAATGAGGTTAAGAGCTTAATGAGTGCTGACAAGGCAACCTGTAGTTGACATATGACATTTTTATGTGCCCCGAAGCCTTCGCAACAAGGGTTTCCTATTAATACACATCTCTGGGCCCGGAGCCCAGCCTCCCCACCGCCCCCCGCCCCAGGTCCTAGGTAAATGCTAAGGTTTCGACTTAATTAGTGCCATGAGTTAGCCCCGTCTTTATGATAGTTGTTCGAGAAGCCAGCCAGCCAGCGAGCGAGCGGGAGAGAGAAATGTGGCACAATTTTGGGTCTCGTATTTTTGGGGGGTGCTCTGGGAATCAGGCGGGAGATAATCATTGGGCACAGATATTTATGTGCCACTCGAAGCCTGTGAAATGTGTTGATTAGCTGATACACAAATCGAATGAAACTTTGGGGGGGAGAAGGGTTCTAGGAGGAGCAACCACCTCCCTCACAAACCGAAGCTCCTCCATATCTGTGGCTGTATCCTCCCTCGTGGATATCCCGCTCCCTGAAGGCAGCTCCTCGTTTGCTTTAATAGATTTTATTTACCTTTGATGGCCACCCACTCCCGCTTGGCAATTAGTCGCAACAAGTCAACAAGTTATGTAGTTGACGTTGCAACGTTGCAGCGTGGCTGGCGGCTGGTGGCTGCTGCCTGGTGGCTGGTGGCCAGAACAACATGTAAATACACCTACCAGCGGCAGCTCCCGCCTGTAGCTCCCGCCTGCCATGGCCACGATGAGTGACCACTGGACCATTTTGTAGTCAGCCACGTTGTTGTTTGGCATTGTTGACCACTCGTGGCGATTGTTTATCTGGCTCTCACTCCGATGTTGCTGTTGATATTGCAAGCTGATGACATTAATTGTTACGTTTTCCCTTTTGCTACCATTGTAGTTAGTATCCGCACTGGTGCTGGTGCTGGTGCTGGTGCACTCGAAGCTGCTGCTGTGACGATTATTTACCCCGTTGTGCATTTAACGCCTGGCTGGATGCAAGTTTTAGCTTACCATTTCAGTGGACACAGTGGAGTCCATCTCCTTGCCCCTCTCCTCTCCACCGAGCCACTGGCATATCAATTTCGCTAACACGCTCTTGATTTATTAGCCCGAGTTGGCAGCCCGCAAACCCGCAGCCCGCATTAGTTTTAACGACTGAGGGGGGCGGCAGGGGCGGGAGGGAGCCCTGCTCTGTTAGACAGTTTTAATTAAATTTTAATTAATTATTCATTATGCAGTCGTTGGCCTCCTGTTCGGAGTGCTGCCAAAAATGTATAACCAAAAGTGTGTTGCATATTTTACAACAGACTCTGGGGGCCACAAGGCCGAGACCTGCTGGGTCTGTGGGGTCTGTGGGGTGTAGGGGATACATCTTGAGGTGCTGCAAGAGGTAGAGCGCCTCCTGAGGCCCTTTGGGAAGGTGAGAAACGAAGACGAAGGTCTTCCTGCATAAGCAGAAACCTTTAAAGTCAAAGAATCTTCAAAAATATTGTGTACTTTTCAAGGATAAATTTAAATCAAGGACTTGGGACTCTTTTTGGACCATCACCCACCTGAAAAGGCCTGAGTTGTGACAAATTTCCCACCCAAAAAGGCAAGACATGCGACTGTAGTGATGAGAGATTTATATCTGTTCAAGTCCGTATGTATTCCCCGGCCTGAGCTGATCTTCTTTTTACTCTATTGAATGCCTCTTTGGGACCACATTAATTACGTTGAACAATTGCGATGAGCAGTGTCCACTAATTGAGTGCCAAATGCTGGGGTTCACAGGTCAATTGCACGCACTGCACATCGCCCCAAACTTGAGCAAATCATTTGACAGACAAGCGGCAGCAACTACAACTACAACTACAGGGGAGGGGGGGGGGAACACCGTGCGTGCAACATCAACAAGTTCATTAAAAAAGTTAGCACAAAAGCAAAGGCAGAGGCAGCAAAAAGCGCTCGACTGGAGCGAGGCGGAGGCCCAACCCCCCGGCAAATGTGACGCTTCACTAGAACTTTGCAGAATTCGCTTTTTTTTCCGCCCCCCTCCACCCCACACATGCCCCCTCTTGGCTCTATTCTATCTGTAGTTTTACACACCTAAGAGGGGGGGAACGGAAGCGATGCTCATTTGTGTGCGACCACAAAATGGGGGCTAAATGGAGGCTATGGAGGCGGTCAGGGGAAGAGTAAATGCTGGCGATTAACTTAAGGACACAGCAAAGGGACGGAACGAATGCGAAAACAATCAGGTAAAACGCTACCCTGGACAGACGGGATACCCTGGGGAAGGCTTGACGGGGTCACCCAGGGAATAGTGCCACTCGTGGTGGAGAAGGAGGCTGTGTCGCAGAAGGAGGCTGTGGCTGTGAAAAGGAGAATCAATTGCCCGCTGATTACCCACAGGTGCCTGTACGGGTCATCCTCGAGGCCCAGCCCGGGTCCAAGACCAATAAGGCCAAGACCACGACTGCCTAAGACCTCAAAGAGGTCACCTATGCGTGAGAATGATCAAATGCATGATGCGGTTAATGATCCATGGTGTATCTGTGGTTCTGTAGACCTACATATCATCAAAAACTGTATGCACCGTAGCTTCATGGCTTCAAAGCTCTCTCAGAGTCCCTGAGATCGCCCTACACTCGATCCAAGTGGAGGCTGGAGCTCCACCGTCCACCCAAGAATCCTAATGGGGGTTCAAATAGCCCCACTGGGCGAAAACTGTGATCGAATAAAATACAAGAGTTTTCTTTCAAGCCCAGAGAGGCTGCTAAACCGAGCATTTCCAGGCTAGTGCTCCCGTCCAGAGCCTTGGCATTGGCACTGGCATTTATTCTTAGAAGATCGCAAGATCGCCTTAATTTTAGTTGTCCGAACTTTGGGTTTGTCGAAACTGTCGAGCAGCTCCTTGAACGACTCCAGCAACATGCCACAAGTGCGGAAGAGGGCCTTGTGCAGCCTGTACTCCTCGTGGGTGGCCTGCGAGACGATCGTCGTCCAGTAGAACAGCCCTAGGCCCACGGTGATGGCCTCCAGTTCCACGTAACGATTGCCGTCTATCCCAGCGGCGAGGCGCAGGAAGATGTCGATGGTGCCCTCGAGCTTGATCCAGAACAACGCCACGGGTATCTCGGCGATGAGGTAGACGCAGATGGTCTCCAGCAGAGTCCTGAACAGCTTGGCCTTGCGGAACCACTTCTTGGGCAGTATCTCGTTGCCGTACAGCAGGTCCATCATGGCCAGAAAGAAGACGAGGCTGCCCCAGTAGGCCCGGTCCTCGTAGGCCTTAACGGGCGAGTAGTCCGCCGTGAAGTGCATGTAGCAGGCGAACAAAATGGGTGTTATGTTGGTCATGACTACAGAGGGGGTCGGTGGGAACACTATAGATAGGTAGGGGAGATCTAATGGGTACTCACCTCGTCTGAATAGACTTCTGTGCTGAAGGGAACTGCAAGAAACCTTTCAACACTCGAGTTGTGTGATTTTTTTGGGTCTTCAATACTTACTCTTGAATTTATTTGAAGCAAATACGAAATGTGATGTTTCTGTCAATGAAATGGGGTTCAAAGTTTTAGTAAAATGGAGGTGATAGGGTTACAGATAGGGTTGCTTCCCTTTGGAGTAAGCTCCTGTGATTTTTAAAGGTCTAAAGTTAGATTTCCTTCAACTAAACCCAGCCCCACCCCCCTCTGTGCTATCATCTGTGCTTCAATGGCCCTCTGAGGGTGTCAGTCGAAACCGGAAATGACGTTGCAATTGAATCGTGAGCTGTACAAGGGTGCACAGATGTGCAGTGGAAGCGATTCCCATAGGGGTGTCCGTGTTCCGCAGATACTTACTCGTGCCCCCTCATTCGCATCCGCATTTCGTTGCAGGTTAATGGCGCCAGCGAAGTGTGTCGGCGGGACCGTCAAAAGTTCGGGCCAGGCACATGCATTGTTAACCAGAGACCAGCAGCCTGCAAAGTGGGCCAGCACTGGCCCTTTTCTTTGGCCGGAAGTTTGCGGTGGGAAATTTCATTTATGCTGACACTTGACTTGCCCATCGCCCGCTTTTCCCCCGGGGGAGTATTGTTTTTTGCGCTCTCCCCTCTGGAGGGGGGGGCTTAATTTGCTGCAAATAAATAATGGAAACAGACGTTGCCGGTTGCCGGCTGCCGCTTCGATTTGGCCTTGGCGGAAGTGGCCCTGGTGTCCAATGAAGTTTGTATTATGTTCGAGTTGTGCACTTTTTCCATTTCCTCCTTCGGGGCCGAGAACATTAGAGCGGAAACGTGTTGACTGGGCAGCAGCACGGAGCAGGAGGAGGAGGAGGAGGAGCAGCGCACAAGTCGCAGGATGTTGCCAGGGCACGGATCTGAGGGCCAATAGATGGCCGGGGATGGCTTTTGTTGCCGGGCTCCTCTTCCTTCTCCCTTGATTTGGACATTGACTGGCTTTGCTTTGCTTTGCTCTGCTCTGCTTGGCTCCTCTGCCCTTGTTAAAGAGACAATTTAATTGTTTTGTAATTGCCAAGACTTTTTCCGCGAGCTCTGATTTATGCGCTGTGGCGTTGGGGTCGAGCAGAAGGTTGAGTGACGGGCGGGAGGTCAGCCCAACAATCGCTGGCCAAAGGCCACAGAAGCTCATCAAAACTGCAGGCCTTTCTGCAATATTGATGCGGAATTTGCAGAGCGATAGACGGATTAAAAGCGACTGTTTGGAATATTTAAATCCCCACAGGAATCCGAAGCGAGCACATTAAATATTTAACAGGTGTCTATTTCGGCCCGGGCTGCACTCTAATTAATGTCGAAACGTGTGCAACAGGCCATAAATCCGAATCCGAATCCGAGTCGAAAAATAGGTTAATGTGTTCTCCGGCCTTGCCCCCCGGGGGAGGCAGGCCCTTGGCTGGCCATAAATCTCCGCCTGCGGCTCTGCAAGTGCAACATTTATCTAGAGAACTTTTAGGCGCAACACGAGCTGCTCTTCGAGTGGATGTAAACACACGCGTGGCACGTGGATCTGCAGCAAGTTCTCTATAGGATTGCAGTGCGTTTAATTGCCTGCCAACCCGCTCTCTGGGCCCCACAAAAGTTTCCTCTGTGCGCTCCACAAATAAAGTTAGTCAAACTGATTAACTCTCGGCTCGGCTCGGCTGGGCTTGCGCTCTCCTTCGCTTGATTCTCAGAAGCTGCTGCTGGGGCCCCGGAATTCCGGCTGCTTGTTGCGGCATAATTGAATTCCCCAGACGCTGCCAAAGCCCCATAAAAATTACACTAAAGCCCCTCCTGGTCCCCCGTCCCTCTGCCGCCCCCCCTTTTAATGAGAGTTTGTGTAACGCCGGCATTTGCTGCTTAATACAATTTTAATGGAATATTGCGCTGCTCTTTGCAGTTGCATTAAAACCCAATTGCATTTTGTCAGACGCCCCCTGACCTCGCCCGTCCCCATAAATCTCTCCCGCCCCCCCGGGGCTCCCTCTCGACGCGTCAATGTCGCGCTCCCGGCTCTTGTCGTTTGGACGGTGTTTTAGTTTCGGTTTTAGTGCCACGCCCCCAGACAGACAGTCGGTCTGGGGCTGCCAGTCGGTGGCTGGGCTAATTCTGCCATTGTCCATGATGAATGGCTGGCGAAATGCATTTATTTACAGACTCCCAGACTCGCTGGTGGGTCTGGGTTTATCCTCGATCTATCAGGCAGCTTTGATTATGGTTTAAGCCACAGTTTAAGCGTCTCTTCATATACATACTCCTTCATTTAACGCCCCCCCCACTTGGGCAAACATGTGCACTCCCCACTCCCCATTCCGCATCGCCTTCCCCCGCTGGAACACACGTTTCTTTCACATTCTCCTGCCCAATGTCAATTGCCTGCTGGCAATGCTTACAAAAGGTTATATTTATGCTGAGAGAAAGCGAAAGCCAGTGAGTGCCTGAAAAGGTTAACATTTGTCATTGAATCGGAGGTGCAGTCAAGGCGAGGCCCCTCCCGGGGCGCGCGTGGCCTTTGCCTTTGCATAATTCCCGAGATCGTCTCAAACGGCACTCGAGCTGCGGCAAGTGCTGTGCTCTGGCCACAAACTAATGTGAATACCCACTCGTAGGTGAATTAATGTGAATACTCGTGGATGAAGTGGACGAAGTGGAGGGCTCTCTGACTAATTGAAATAATTCCAACATTAATTAACAAAGGCAATACTTTCTGTTTCGTTTCAGGAGCCAGTAACTAGAGGAAAGGTGAGTCTTGGAAAGGAATTCGGAGTCCACAAGTCCTGCCTAGCGATGAATGTCAAAATCTGGCAGATATTTTACGCACTGTCGCTCTTGGGAATTCTTTTAATTAGCCATCAAATGGAATTTCTTGTTTACTCAATCCAAAGTGGCAATTAGTGCCGCCCCCCCCCACTGCGCCCGCCCCCACTGGCCGTCCAATTTATGAAATGGAACACGCTTTTTGATGGCCCCCCGTAAAATGGAACATAAAATTCCATAGATGCCGGCTGCTCTGGCATTCATTTTTCTAAAATCTAAAATCCATTTCTGGTACTCCCTCTCTCCACATTTTATGCCTGATTAATTCGGAGGCTGCAAAAAGGCAAATCACGAGATTACTTTTCGGAAATAAACAAAAGAACAACAGAAAAATTTCCCTTTAGTGGGCGAGTGACGGGGCGGAAAAGTGGGCTGGAAAAAGTTTTCCCCACACGGCTCCAGCTGGGCAAAAACCTGATGAACCCCATGTCAATGATGATGATGGGTTTTCCTTTCTTTTTGGGTATTATTTTCTTGGGCCAACTAAATTAAAAAAGTTTCCTCGTGGGGCCATCGCTTATAATGAGCTTGTCGTGCCTCCAATATTCCTCAGATATTCCTCAGATATTCCCCAGATATTCCTCAGATATTCCCCAGATATTCCTCTAATAAATGCCAATGACTTTTGCTGTGAAACAGTTTTTAATTGGCAATATCCCGGCGGCAGCAATTCTCCATCTGTGTTTGTCTGCAAAAGTTTTCCAGAGCCAGTACCCAGTACAGTGCGGCACAGCACTATAAACCCACACTAAACAACTACAAACACACACTACGCCGCGCCGTAAAGCGGGCGGTGCTCGCTTTTGGGCGCTGTTAAATATAAAATTCTATGAATTTGTACGTACATCATTTGAAAATCGTAAAACTTGCCAGTGTTCCGGGCCACCACTGCGGTTACGTATACGTAATGTTTGCTGAGCGGTGAGCGGTGAGCGGTGAGTGTGTGCCGACGAGTGAGAGCTGTCATAAACAGGCCGGGAAAAGGAAAAAGGTATGCTGTCTGCGCCTCTGGTTTTTTTTATTATATTTTTATTTCCGTGCAAAGAGCACACGCCGCTCTCCGGGAGAGGCGAGCCCCATCTTTACGTAATTATAATGCCCTGGAAAGTGCTGCTCCGCTCTCCACGATGATTACCGAGTTATTTGCCCAAGTTTATGACTCTGCAGAATGCACAAGACTTTACAGCAGCCTGCCATGTGCACAAATTAATAATCTTCACTCAGGCAAATTAAATTTAAAATTAAATTGCCTCTGCCGCTCGGCCCGAGCTGCAAATCCCCCCCAGGAACCCCCTGCAAACGGACACAAAACACAGCTTTGGCAATATTCTCGGAAACTGCTCTTAAATTGTATGCAATTCGGTTTACTCGTTCGGCGATTGAATAAATTTGGTCCCCCTAAGCGGATAATTCAAGGCCGTACTAAAAATAGCAAGGCAGTGTCCTTGTTTCGTCAGCCGAAGGATTGGATACTCTTTTGTGTCGGTGCTCGAACATGACCTCAGGAAAACAAAGCCCGATCTCTAGATCTCAAGCGAAAAAATTACATAAAGTAGACAATTTATGTCTCGGGCTCGAGAGATCTTTAAACCCTTTAAAAAGTGCTACAACAAAGGCTCCAAAGGTGAAGAAAGGCTTATCAAATGTAGTCCCAGAATAACACCTATGTTTGCACTCAAATTGCCATTCTTTCCGTGGTTGTAGCGATAATAATAGCGTACAATATTATGCCCCAATTGACCTCATTTTTGGTTAAGGCTAACAGCCTTCTTTTTATGGTGTATAATTTATATACTTTTATAATTTTCTTACCCAACTCACAAATATCTAGGCCTTTCTTTTAAGGTCTTAATTTTAATACAAATTATTACATACAAAATTCTTACAATTTTGAGAGTTTTTAGGATAAAACTATGGGGTTTTTTTTCCGCTTAGACACTGAAGAAAGCATTGGTCTTAAAAGTCAGTTCTTTTTTTTCTATATATTTATCTGATATTTTTGGTTTTATTTCTGAATTATTGGCCGCTGTTTAGCACTCCACTTCGACGCTTAAATTCCCAATTTAAAACAAAATAAATAAGTGAGAGAGTGGGATAAAGTGACTGCTTAGATGTTTTTATATGTTTTTCTTTCCCCGTGCCCGTATATTCCGTATTTTTTTAGAGTGGCCGTACAATCGGTAT